AACTATATTTATTCTATATTTTGTTTATCAAATAAATCTCTGTATTAAAAACATTTTTAAACATTCAAATTTATACACTACTATTGCTAAACAAGCAATTCATCTTGTATGTTTTTTTTAAAAATCATCTTTTTTTTTAGAGCATCTTTGCTCAGAACAAGTAGCATTATATAGTTTGTATATTTCTTTTATATCTCCAAATTGTACTCAATAGAATAGCTATTATTTGTATTTTGCCAGCATTATTAAAGCTTATACTTCTTTTAAAAATATAGTTACAAGAATTGAAGAGAGTAATGATAAAAATTTTAAAGATTTTTCTGAAAATATTCTTTTTAATATTTTAGATAATGAGTGGTAGAAAAAACTTATACAACTAAAAGTTTTTTTTGAACCTTATATAGTATCATTAAATAAACTTCAATAAGACAAAGATTATTTTACTTATATTTTATATAGTTTTGGATAGATATATCAAGTAATTAAGAGTATTTCTGATCAAGAACTTAAAAATTTTTTAATAACAAAGCTAGAAAAACAATAGTCAACTTGAGAACAATTATTGTTACTTTTATCTTTCTTATTATATCTAACTTATTATAGTTTCTACTTTAATTAAAAACTTAATAGTTTTCTATTGCATATATAAAAATTAGATTAGATATTATTATCATGCTTGGTTTAATAAAACTCTATAGTTTATTTTGAGTGAATTACAATATTATAAAAATAAAGGGTATTTATTTGATAATAAAACTGAATTTTCTTTAGTATAGATAAGCATATATAAATTATTACAAAATTATAATATATAAACCTTACTAATTTGAACTAATTTAAATTTTAACCTTAACCCTAATTCTAATAATTTATAAAATTGCTTAAATTAATTTAAAATAGTTAATTTATAGAAAATAACTAATGAACATCTCAGGTGATGATCACCTGTGATTTATAATATATAATTTTGTGTAATGTAAACAAATAAATAAACAATTTAATAAATAAAAAAAGTTTTTTTTTAAATCTTTAGGGTAAGAGTCAGAGCTCATATTAGAGTTAGAGTTTAGTAAGGTTTATAGTAAAATTTTACAAAGAATTTTTTTACTTAGAGCCTTAAAAGTAGTTTTATAAGCAAAATTTTAAGATAATTTTGCTACAGGTGATCATCACTTGAGATACAAATTAGCAATTTCCTAATTTATATATATTATAATTATATAATAATTATATATACCTACCTATACTAAAGATTAACTATAAAACTTATATTTAATTTGGTGATAATATATTGTGATACTAGAATTTCTATAAAAAGTTATTGTGGAATTGTATCTTGTAGCAATTCATATTTTCTTAATTTGTATAATAATAGTTTTAGTAAAAAATTTGTTTTCTACTATAAGATAGTATTACTCAGCATAATATAATTTGCTTTTTTTTTTATTTATACAGTCTACTCTTCCAAAACCGATCTTGTCAAAATCGATAACCTGTTATACTTGATAAAAAATTGGTCCACTATGTCTGTTCCATAATTTAAACCCGATAACTTGCCATTTCTGATAACTGATATCCAAATAACCAGATACCTATAAGATATCAGGTTTGTCAGGTAATATAAATCAATCTGATTGGCTCGAATCGAGCTTTGTATAACCAAGTAGATATATAATAAATATAATCTAGCCAATTATATTTATTTATAATCACGTGACCAGCAAGCCATTGGTATCTTAAATCTGATAACCTCTCAAAACTGATATAAAAGCTGTCCACAATACCTATCGGATTTGAGAGGATGTACTATATTATATTTTCTGTTTTTTCAAATTTTATTTATTAATTTTTAATTATTTTTATTATTTTATATTTATAATCTTATAGTCTAAAAAGTTCTTACTATATATCAAATAAGGTCTGAACTTATATGTTTGTAAAATATTATGATTATTGATGAGTTATTGAAAACATATAACCAAAATATTGCAATTCTATTTAAAGAAATAAATCTTATCGAAGATATAAATGAGAAAAATTTATTAGATAATATTGAATTAGAAGATGAAGTTCAGATAGATAAAATAGTTGGCTTTGTAAATAACTAGAAAACAATTGTAAAACAATAGATAAACCTTTCTGAAGAGAAGAAAAATAAATATATAGAAGATAATTTAGATAATTCAAGTAAATTAGAAATTATAAACAATTTATATAAAGAAATATTTTAAGATTATACTATTCATTCTGTGAATAATTTGGGAATAAAATGGAAATTAGCAGATATTTTTACAGATTTGTTAGTACAACCTGCTTATATCAATTTGCTTTTGGGTAATTAAAAGTATAATCATTAATACTTTTATTATATAAATTTAAAAGGTAACAAAAGCTCTAATCATATAAATAATTCAAAGTTGCTTTTTAAATAATACAGTATTAATAAAGTTGATTATTTAATAGACAATACATTTGTTATCTGAAGAGGATTTGCAAATTTTTATAAATAAATTTTATTATTGAGCCAAATGTGAAGCCAGTGTTTAAAATTTAAATCAAAATTTACTTGCACAAATATAGTTGTATTATAGGTTTTAATTGCATAAATCAACTACTAGTTGTACACATGTGTATATAAATTTTATTTTTATATATATATATTTATTATCTCTAAGTGATACCAATATTATAAAATTATTATACCAAATATATCTTAAATTTTTTGTTTAATTTTTGATATTTTCTCTAACTTTAAACTCATTCTTGCTTGTATTTAATGTTCATTAATTTTTCTTTTAGAACTTTTCAGATTATTATTATCTGTTTCATTTTTTATATTTAGAC